TCTGACCTCTACTTATCAAAGCTACCCTGCCTTTCATTTATATCGGATGATCAACCTTTGTCCTGTTGTTTGTTTCTGAATCCACTATGGGCAAAGATCAAATCAATTTAGACCTCCTAAAGGTCCCATGTGGACCCTGAATTAACATGCTAGGCTGTTGGGGAAGCTGCCATAGAATGTGAAAGAACATTCTCACTGACATTGGCTTATTTTCCAAAGTTAAATTCATATTTGATATTTGAAAGCTATTTTAATCCATATTAGCATAACTCTATTTTTCATTTATCTTGGGCTGCTAAATTTTAGTTAATGCCATCTTGTACTTTTAAAACTACATGAACTGTGAGAAAGGCACAGAGTTTTAAAACATCTCTCATGTGGAAAAAGAAAGAGAGGGGAGGGAAAAGGGAAGAAGGGAAAGAGGAAGGAAGGAGAGGGACAAGAAAAGGGGAGGGGGAGGGGGGTGGAGGGGAGGAAGAAAAAGAGATAGAGAGACTTTCAAAATGAATGAGAAGGGACAGGGACATATGGAGGCCAGGCTTCTCCCTGGAGCTCTTGCATTAACTCGGGTAAATGACTTTGGGCGAATCTCTGAACCTCTTCAGACCTCTTCAGATTCATTATCCTCATTTTATGATAGGCAGCTAGACTTGTGTGAAAGCCTGGTGTCCACAGCCACTCTCATTGTATCATCACGCTGTTGGACTGTGGCCCCTGAGACTTTGATTCTCTAGCTCACTCAAATGGTAACCAGGCTTTAAAGTGAAGTCAGCAACAATGACAAATGATTCGATTCAATCAAAGCAGAAGTGAAGAGAAATCACTTGGAGGCTGAAGGAAGAAGATTGAGAATTAAGGATATCCTGAGCTACATAGCTATCCTGGCCAGATTGAGCTATACAGAAAGATCCTATCACAAAACAACAACAAGCACCATCACCCAAACCTAGAAAATCCGTACAAACCAAATTGGAGACTGGGTGGGGGGGAGGGGTGGTACACGCCTTTAATCCCATCACTTGGTGGGCAGAGGCAGATGGATCTCTGAGTTCAAGGTTAGCCTTGCCTAGAGACCTGGTTCCAGGACAGCCAGGCTATACAGAGAAACTCTGTCTCAAACAAATATCAGAGCTATCTGTAGTTGCAAATGCCCAAAGAAACTACAAGAGCTGGAAAGTACACTGTCTCCTTCTCTGGGCAGGGCTGGGTACTGTTCACTCTGGCAGAACTGTCTAGACTCTTATGCAAGCACACAGTATGTACCCACACACAGACTCATATAGGAAAAAACTATTTTCCTTTTATAAAAGCAAACCAGAGAAGCATGTTTAGTATGCACCTCTGAAACTCAACTTTGCACATCATTTTCCATGGTTCTGATGAATTCACAGAATCACTCTTACAAGCTGAAGTAGCTGTCTTTCCTTCAGGCTGTGTTTAATTCATAATTTAATGACTGTACAACATATGACAGGAGATTCAATCCTTAAGAGTTATATAGTATTATATACTATATAGTATTACAAGTATTGTTTGTATGAACTCTAACAAGGACAGCATCAGCTCAGATAGGGGAGCAGCAATAAAACCCAAGACATTCCTACATACAGAGGACAGACTTCAAAGTCCCTCAAGAAAAAGATTAAGAGATTAAAAGATAAAAGATTAAAGAGAGGAAGGGTGTCATGATACTCAGATCGAAACTGAAGCATCCAGAGGAGAAAAATCTGTGGCCATAAATAGCAATTAAAAAAATTTTTTTAAAGCCTCATTGAAAAGAACATGAAAAAAAAATCACACTTGAAAGAGAGCTCACTGCCTTGTGAAGTATTGAGAATCTGAAGTTTTGTAGACTTTAGCTTTTCTGACCTACAGGAGCGTGGTCTTACTCCCCACACCCAAAGCTGGCCGCACTGAGCACATGTGCTCCTCTGTGTATGGTTGCCAAGACTTTTCCAGAGCAATATCCTAAATATTGTTTCCAAGACCCAGGGCCATTCTTCAGTGGCTGCCCCAGGTGGGCACAGCATCAGTCTGGGTCAGGTGAGGCAGATGAATTTATGCTCTGGTACACAAACCGTCTCTACAGAGTTTCACGGCAGGTGGGAGGCTTTCCTTCATGGAGGGCCCTTTCTCTATAAAGCCTCTCAGCTCCCAGGTGTGATCTCTTTTAAAGCATCAATTCATGATCTGTAGTTTGGGACTGCTTTGTGGGTCAAATGACGTTTTCACAGGAGTCCAATATCAGATATCCTGTATATCAAATATTTACATTACAATTCATAACAGTAGCAAAATTACAGCTATGAAGTGGCAACAAAAATAATTCTATGGTCGAGGTCACCAGATCTTGAGGAACTGTATTAAAGGGTTGCAGCATTAGGAAAGATGAGAACCACTGATCTATGGCAAAACCCTCCCACTCTGGAGAAAAGGTACAGTTTTGGGGGAAGTCGAGCAAGGCCTGGGGTGGTGAAGTAAGCATACTGACCTTTGACCTCCTTAACTGGTGTCTCCACAGACCTGAGTCCCAGGTGCAGGTTTCTTTAGCTACAGTTCTCTCATCTCAGCCTTAGCCTCCATGGGACCTAGTTGCCTTTACACTTGTGGGAAAGATGCTGCTTTAAGGGAAACACGCTCAGAATGAGTTGTTGTTGTAATCAAGCTTCTCCTCTTAAAACCCTTTCCCCACCTCTGTGGCTCTGGTCCTGGTGGATTCCATTTTGTTCCCCGTCTTCTCCTCCACAGGCACTACTCCACTCAGTGCATCCCCAGGCAGAGATTAACTACTGCGACTATTCCCTCCCATGCTCACCTCCCTCCAGGTATTTTCCTGATTTTTGTAATTATAACAAGTACCTGTGGTACTTGTTGAGCTAATCCCCACCCCCAGCCTCCACCTACCAGGATCTAATTCAGTGGCTGTTGGGTGGGACCCAGGAATGATGTTAATGAGAAGCCAAAGGCAGAGGGACAACGTGATTATAACCTATACCGATACTTCAGGTAGATGAGTGTAGATTACCCTTCAAGTCATACCTGAGAAACACATGTACCAGTCATTTACCACCCTAAGCTTGCCCAGAGTTTGCTCACCAGATTCACCTGTTGGGGGACACAAGCTGAACGTATTTAGACATCTCAAAGAGCAATGAGAGATGCCAAAAAGACCCAGTTTCTGGAAATCTGAATTCTCCACTGATGTATAAAATTACCCACTGTGTTAACTAGTAGGTGTGCTAATTAGCAAAGCATGGGAGGGCTGTTTGGCCTCAGGTTCCTGACCTAAGTATTACATGATATTCTGTTCTTCTTAGATTATAGTATGCCTTGACCCATGAGATATACTTTTAGGAAATAAAGTAATGGTTGGCCAGACAGATGTATAAAATCACCCACGGTGTTAACTAGCATGGGAGCACCCACTAGTAAGCACACCATGTAGAAGAAATGAGCAGGAAGATCTCTGGTTCTAAACTAGCCTGGGCTATATTGCTAGACTCTGTCTCAAAAAAAAAAAAAAAAACCATCCTATTTTAATGATTAAACCCTGGAAACCTCTTAGCATCTATAAGGTAGGAGCAGTTAAGTAAATACTGGTTTATTTAAACAGTGTCTATATAACCCTTAAAATTTAGTATAGACTAATACAACTATATCTGTGAGTCTATGTGATATGTGGCTACACAACCCTCACAATGACTATATGCGACACAAGAATGTTGTCAGTGGTAACAGGATGCTACAAAACCGTTTTTAGACTTCATTCCTGGGTATGATTTTTGTTTAAATAACACAACGTTATGGAGTTTGTGACCCTTAGCGAAAGACCACAGACTCAATCCAATTATAATTAAAGGATTTATTGATTAGCTGTTAGCAGGATGACCACTTTAAAGCCAAATCTCAGGCATGTTGTGAGGGAGGGGTACGGGAAGGGTTTTTTAAAGGTGAAAACCTACGCAAGCAAGCAAAAACTGGTCTGTTCTGCCAAGTGGTCACAGTGACCCAAAGTAATCCTCGGGTGTCTACGTAAGCAAGTTACAGAAGCCATAAAAGCAGTTAGTCATATCACGGTAAGGAGATGGTCACGGGTGGGCGTTTTTGTGTGGGGGTCACGACTAAGGGAACTTACCTTTCAGGAACTGGAAACAGAGACAAACAGCTAGTGGGTACAAAAATGGATGCCTAGCATAAAATGGAGTTTCTTTGGGCAACACATGTGGTGTTTATAGGAAAAAGTCTGTGACATTTCGTAATATATGAATAGTATCAATAGCAAGCTTAAAAGTCAGTGTGTCTTTTCTTTCTTGGGAAGGATTGTTTTCCAACACAGGATCTCTCGGTCTAACTGACTTTCAGCTCCTGGTCCTCCTGCCTCAGCCTCTGAGTGTTGGAATTACAGAAGTACCACTCCCTGCCCCTGGACCCCTTAGTGTCTACATTTCCTCTTTTATATGTGGATGCAAGTCCACATATCATTTTGTAATTCAATTTTTTAAGTTCTTCTTGAGCATCATGGGAATGACCTCTAACGTCCACAACAGTCAGAAAACAAAGCATATTGGGAGCAAGGGTAGGGGTGTTATGGCCTTATTTGCTTAAATTTATTCGTTTAACCCCCTTCTCTTATGTAGCACCCACCGGAAAACGTTAGTGGTACAAACAGATGCCCTTCTTTAATGAACCCCAGCATCCTTCACTACATTGGAATTGTAGATATCCTGCTTAAAAGATCGGAATTTTCTCCCCAAATCATGGGGTGGGCCACTAATTTACTCACCTGGAGCTAATTTTGGGGCACTCTGGTTTTAATTCTGCCCCTCAAAAGCTGCTGGCAGAACCTGGAAGCAAGAGTACAGGAGGGCAGATGGCACTTTCTTCCCAAATCCCTCCCTCTCAGCTGGGCAGGGAGATCCAGGTGCCCCCAGTAGTGAAAGGGTGGGGTCACGTCCTTTCTGCAGCTATAACAGCCCACAGCTGCCTGCGCAGGCTCACCTGGGTGCTCTGGCGGTGTCTTCCAACATGGCGAGGATGCAGAGGAAAGAGTTCGTAAGCCCTCCATGCGGCAGGAGGTGAAGCACCCTGGGAATGAGGGCCGAGGATACAATGGCTTTATTTGCTTAGGTTCACTTTTTCTTAATGTTTTCTCTCTCTCTCTCTCCTATCCAGCATCTACAGGCTGCTTTCTCTCCTATTCACCCTTGTGACCTCAGTGAACTCCTTAAGCCTCCCTCAGTCAGCGAATCCTGCCTTCCCAGGTATGTCTCTTGGGCAAGAGAACCCTCTGAGCAAAGAGAAAAGTCTGCAGATAGAATAGCTCTCTACCCTGTTCACCCTCTCACCTCCCCTCTACCTCTCTCCATCATCCCTTCCAACAGGGACTTGCTTTGTAGCTCAGTCGGGCCTCAACCCAGTGTCTCAATCAACCTGCCTCAACCTCCTTAAAGCTGATTTTTCAGGCGTGTGCCCCTCCATGCCTAGCTTCACTCCCTTCTAAATTATTACAGAAGTTCTCCTAGTCATCTGTGGGCTTGCTATGTTAGCTAAACATAAAAATTCAAAAGAACGTCTGTGCTATTACCCAAGCCCTCACTGCCTCATGTTTTCCAGTACCTAAAACTAGTCATGCTCTGAGCCCTCTCGTGTAGGAGCAACGGTCTTCAACTCTGCCTTAAGCTTAAGGCATCAGACCCAGCCAGAACTCATCTTGTGAAACAAAGTGCCGGGAGACTCTCTCCCCTGAGCCACAGGCTGCAGAAAGGCAGGTCATGGGCAGGATTCAGTCTTGAATTAAAACAAACAAAAATTCCTTGGGACTTACCCAGGATTTTCTTCTTAAAGCTCTAATTTGAAAGATCAAGCTTCCGCTCTTGAGACCTGTCATCCCCACAACCTGCAGCTCCATCCCCAGGCAGACAAGGTTCCTGAGCCTGACTTGTTAACTTGAAGCTGGAGTACTCCTTGAATTCCTAGGTGTTGGGTGGGAACGCTCTTAAAGCTCTGGTATCTTGTGTTGTATTTGCGGGTCTTATTCTGTGAGCTCCCGAGGTTAAGAGTGTCCTCCCCATCTTTAGTTAGCAGTCAAAGATTGTGTTTCTACACTTACCTGTAGCAAGTATCTCCTGTCACTCAAAAGGCTTTAAACACTTTCTCTGTTCTCCAGGCACACTCATTTGTGATAAAGACGGAGTGAGAGTTGAATTTTCAAGCAGATTAGACATGGAAAAATGGAATCCTTCTGTGGTGGGTAAGTAATCTGTACTATGTAATTTTCCACTTTGTAGAAAGCAGGGACACCTCTGTTGGGTACACAGAGTCCAACCCTTAGAGTGACTGGCATCCATCCTCCCTAGTACGATGGGGTCTCTGACTTGCTCAATGCCACCCAGAGGGAAATACCTGGCTTTCTGGGTAGTATGACTTATTTGGGATCCAGTGAGAAACTTCAGGGTATAAGTCGCAACACCCAAAGTTTGATCATGTCACTAGGTTGGGTCAAAAGCGATAGACATGCCTTCGATGTGGATGAGAAATCCTGGCTGAGAACTTTCAGTTGGCTCTGCTGCTTGAATGCATTTCTTGGCTTCTCTGTCTTCTGTAGATGCCATTGGTAATGAAATTTTGAACTGCACTTATGCTCTGGACTTGGAAAAGTTCATCCTCAAGTTTCCCTACAAGACCTGTACTATAAAAGTGGTAAGCAAGTGCTTTGGGGAAGTAGGAACATAATCATTATGGTGAGGATTTAGACTTTGAAACAGAACAGTAGTCCTCAACCAGATTGGCTTATTCTGTTGTATTACTAACATACCCAGGGGACACTTTTGATCATGCCTTGAAGCATTCTGGAGATGGGATGGATTCTACTCCTGGCACCGTTGTGGCTGCAAGTCAAGGATATTGTCAAATAGCCTATAATGACCCTGGGAACAGGAGGTCTGAAATATCTCTGTTGGAAAAGCCTAATGCTTGAGCTGTTAGCCTTGGGTTAGACTTTAAGCTACTTAACCTTGCTACTTTGCTTATAGGGAAATGGGAAAGATGCTGTCATCTCCACAGGGTATAAAGATTAATAATAACTATAGAAATGAAGGCAGGACATGCGACTTAGACAAAGCAAATGCTTGGTCATAGAGCTATTTTAATCTAACCCCTGTGTGAGATGGAAGGTTATTTTTGGTGCTAGCAAATAGAAAACCTAGCTTAAAAACAGGTGTTAAAAAGCAAACAGTTGCTAAGCAATAGGGTTTTCTCTATTACCAAGCAACAGGATTGCCCAATCAGGGTAATTAGGTGTAATAAAATAAAAACCTGTCACATGGAAGAAGTTCTCAAGCTTCCATCAAGGATTTCAGTTGATGTGGGTGAGGGGTGAGTCCTGGAAATTCACTGCTTAACAGGCTACATCACCTGATCCTGATGCTGGAGCCTATAGTGTAAGCTTTGTGTATATTTATAGACTCTGCTTTCTGTGCAGTCATCTGGGCCACTAAGATCCTCTGTGATGGCCCAGAAAAGTAATTGCATACCTTTTGTGAAAATCTATACCAATGTAAACTTTTCTGTTCTTTATTTATTCTTTACAAGTTTCATACTTGTATACAACGTGCTTATCATACCCACCCTTCACTTACCTCTTCCACCTTCTCCCAGAACTCCCCAGCACATATCTCTCCCAACCTGATGTCCTTCTCCTATGAATATAGGCCTTCGAGAAGCTTGAGTTACTGTTCTCTGGGTTCCACCATCTCCTAACTGTAACCTGTGAATGGTCAAATCTAGTCTCATAGCCTTTATGTAATGATCTTTAGATTAAGAGTGGTTTTAAAGTTAAAGACATAAATTCTAGGATAGTTACTATTTAACACTTAAGCAGAAAATTGTTAGGTAACAATCATCTTGCCTTAGACTGAGTTCTCTGAGGTCAGTGGTAACAAAGATGGCTCCTCTCAGCTCAAGGGCATCAATTTAGTTGCTGAGTGGGTATATTTGAATAACCTGTGTAGATATCTGGGGATATGACCATGATTCCCAACATATAGACCATAATAGAAATGTAACAGAAAGCAGACTCTACCCCTAATGTTTGAACTCTCCTCTCAGCCTGTGAGTCTTACAAGGATATCTCTCAAAATAGTCTCTTGGCAAGGGAATGAAGTGACTTCAGGGACTTGTACTGCTAAATGCAAATTTGTTGCCACTCTAATGGTCGGATGGGATAGTCCTGTAGAACTGCCTTTCCCACTGAGGAATGACAGCCTCATTAGTACTGTTTGTACACAGATTGGTGGATACCAGATGAACATCAGAGTGGGGGACACCAGCGCTGATGTAAGATATAAAGACGACATGCATCATTTCCTCTGTCCAGCTATTCAAGCAGAGAACCATGAGATAACAGAAATTGTCTGCATGGAGGATCTCGTATCTGTAAGTGATGTGGGATGACTCTCTCATATGGCTATGGCAGGGTTAATAGAATGCTGTTGTAGACATAGCTGGGCTTAGCAGCTGAATGAATTTAAATCTTGTTTTTTCTGTTTTGCTGTGTGGCCATGATACATTTTCCACACTGAGGCTTTGTTTCTAAGGCCAAAGGGGAAGCACAGCATTTACCTGACAGGTTGGCTCTAGAGAACTGAGTACACAGCATGTTGAGCACACTGTGGCCAACAATGGAAACGGCTCAAATATCTGCAGTCACACTGATAATCATAGGATTGACCAACCTATCCCATGTCCTGTACCCAAACTAGTCTAGCTTTTCCAATGTCTCTTGATACTGGAAACTCAAAGGTGTAAAACCCAAGGGTAGGATTAGAAGATACATCTGTCCCTGTGCTCTTCCTACTGCGTGTCAGCAGCCAGGCTTCTTGGAACTACAGCATTAATTTATGCCAACTAATCTGGGTGTTTCCTGCAAAATAGCAAGTGGCAGAATTTCAGAGACTTTCTCCTAAATCTTTTAATTTTCTTTCCAGTTTTCTTTCCCACAACTTTTCTCTAGGCTTGCTGATGAAAATCAGGTAAGAATACAGTTGTCTGTCTGTCTGTCTGTCTGTCTGTCTGTCTCTCTCTCTCTCTCTCTCTCTCTGTGTGTGTGTGTGTGTGTGTGTGTGTGTGTGTGTGTGTGTGTGTGTCTGCCATTTGTGAGGTGGTACCTACAGAGGACAGAAGGTATCAGATATCTGTAATTTGAGTTAAATGCAGTTAATTACTGGTGTAAGGTGGTTTCTGAGAACTGAATTTGTTCCTATGGAAGAGAAAGTAGTCAACTCTCTAATCTTGAGAATGCAACTCTTCTCTTATGAACCATATTAACGCCTAAATTCATGATCAAGCTTATCCTATAAAACACTAGTTTCCCATGGTTAAGGAAGCTCCAGTCTTAAACAATGTTCACTTTTTGTTTGGTTTGTGCATGTGTACATGCATGTGTGAATGAGTGTTGTAGGCATGTAAGTGTAGATCAGAGGACCACTTACAATTATCTCCGTGTCTTTTGAATTTTGAAGAATGTGTCTGAGATGGGATGGATTATTAAGATTGGCAATGGTACAAGAACCCACACTCTGCCCCTGAAGGATGCCATAGTACAAGGATTTAATCTTCTGATTGACAGCCAGAAAATAACCCTCCATGTGCCAGCCAATGCTACTGGAATAGCTCACTATGTGGTAGGTGGAAACCCCCTTTATAAATGGCCAATGTTCTCAAGACTAAGTATGATTTCAACCATGTCCTCAAATAAAGGAGCTATATCGCCAACTTAAAATATATTTATTTATCTGGGCAGACTAACATACACTTGTAGTTCTAGCACTTTGGAAGCTAAGGCAGGAGGTTTGAGTTTAAGGACAGCCTAGACTACATAGTGCGAATCTGTCACAAACAACCTGTAAGTTCTAATACCAAGTATATCACTGGATGATAGGAACCTGATAGTGAAGAAGAAGCCTTGCTATACACGCGTCCTTCTTTTTACAGGCTTACATTCAAATTATAATATAGAGCAAGAGTATTCTTGTGAGTCTTAAGAATTAAGGTGTTCTGTTTGGGTGACATTTTTACTTTGTCTTCCAGATCATCCATGAGACATTAAATGATATAATCACATTCTACATAAGGGTTAGGTTAGTGATGGACCCGAAGACTGAAGTAGAGCTAAACATTTCATTGCCTGGTTATGATAGCTGTAGTAACATTACAGTGCAATGTCTTTCCCATGTTGGTAGTGGTGTCATGTGAACCTGCACTGCCTGCTGTATAAAAGCTTCAGATACACACAATCATGTTAGGTGGATAATGGCAAGGCTAGGTTTTATGGTACTATGGCCTATAGTAAAAGGTCAATTGTTTAATGGTGTATCTCTTAGGATATACTTCACTGTTAAGCCACGAATGATTGTACTTGAGACAGGTGCTTGGGACAGGTGCTATCAAGTGCTCATACTTTGATTACTTTAATAAAAGACAGTTTGTTTCATCCTGAGCATATTAGGATTCCCAAACTTTGTAAGTATTCTGACCAACAGTACAAGATAGTCATGGGGTATGGCCAGTTCTTGCTGTAGCCTCCCTAGAAATGGTCACTATGGGCCATGCCCATAGACATCTCTAGTTTTTCAGGCATTATAGAAGACAGGGAGCACTATGAAAGTGATTGTACAAAACACTTACACTTCATTTTGTGCTAAAGTGACACCCAATGCTTGAACATATAATGATTCTTACTTAGAGACTCAATCTAATACCTTCGAAATCCTAACCCTCCAGCAAGAGAGCAGCTATCTCTATACTGTGCAGCTGGAGCTCTTGTTCTCAACTTTTGGGCAGAAGATCACCTTCTCTTCACGAGCTATCTGTGCACCAGGTGAGGCCCGAGAGAGCAGAACTTCAGCACTGGGAAACATTGTTCTTGGGGTTTAACCAATGCTGATGAAGGATATTTGTCAACCATTTCCTATAGATCTTTCTGTGGCTTGTAATGCTACACACATGACTCTCGCTATACCAGAATTTCCTGGGAAGCTAAAGTCTGTGGACTTTGAACAAAGGAGCATCCCTGAGGACCAATGGCATGCCAATGGAATTGACAAAGAAGCAACAAATGGCTTGAGACTGCATTTCAGAAAATCTCTCTTGAAGACAAAAGTATGTTTGTTATCATGCCCTAAACGCCACAAGAGCCTTCTGAAGTACTCTTGTGGTGGATGATACGATACAACTCATGACTTACCCATAAAGCCTACTTGCTAAAGTGATGGATTTAAATAACCTTGATCACTTTACATGAGTTTTCAAGGAAAGTTCTCTCCAATACCATCACTTTAACTTCTGCATGTAGATACTGTCCTAGATTTTTCTTAGTTCATATGACAAGTACAAGCTACCCATGAGACATCTAATGATGAACCTTCCATATGCTGTTATATATGACAGGTTAATCTGGTCCAAACAAAGGGTATCCTATTGTCCTGAGGCTAGTCTTGATGGATTCAGGGATAGAATGTCAAGAGTGTATGTAGCAATAATATTTTATAAACTTTCTGGAGTTCTTTTGAGTCCCTTCTTGGGTTTGGCAAGGGGTTCCACTATTCTTTACAGTTTGATTTGTTAATTAAAGCTTTAGTGACTAATAGTACAAAGAGCATGAAGCAGCTGGGTATTTTAAAGCAATAAGCTTCAGCCTAGAGACAATTCTGATTTGAGGAAGTGGCAGCTCTTCTGTTTTGGCTCAGAAGGAAACTAAATGAGTTTGAAGTGTGCTCAGCAAGTGTCCAGGGACTCCTGCTTCCTGAGGCAGCAACTTGACATTCTCTCATTCCAGCCCTCTGAAAAATGTCCATTCTACCAGTTCTACTTCGATTCACTCAAGTTGACCTTTTACTTCCAAGGGAGCATGATATCCACAGTGATTGATCCCGAGTGCCACTGTGAGTCACCAGTCTCTATAGGTAAGCATGTTTTGTAATCAACATTATCTGAAGGTTGTTGGTTTTGCTCCTTTTAATGCATGTGGGAAATTAGAACAGACATCAAAAATCTGCTTCGTTCTTATGACTCAGACCTAAGTCCTATCGGAAGTAGCAGTTTAAGTCATAGGATGGGAGCTCAAGAGTGCTACCATTCTCAAATGCTCATGAGGGGAAATCATTGTATAACTGCTGAATTTAGGAAATTTGGTTACACTGAGTTATATATCAGAATCCCCAATCCAGGGACAAAGGCTTCAAGCTTCTACTTAAAACTCTCTAGAGTTTCTGAGACTCCTATAAACTCTCAAAAGGATTCCTGAGTGGACACTTTCTCTAGCTGAACCTTGCTTCTCTTTACTCCCTCACCTCAATCGGGTCAGACCAATCATCGAAAGCTTCCTTCTTAGCTTCTCAAATTGCCTGGGATTAGTGAGTTCAGTCTGAGGATGCCTTACCAGAGTGCTCAGAACCCTCAGCTTTAGGTTTTAGTGACTGTGACACTGATTATGGTAACTTACGTTCCTCTTATCACTCAAGCTGGTCCATCAGTGTTTGTCCAAAGACTTAAGACAACTCAAACTTAATTGCTGGATTCATCCTAACACTTTAAGGCTGTCAGGTAATGTCACAGGATAAGCTTAATTTTCTCTAAACCTTTGCTGCTGTCCACTTACAGATGAACTGTGTACACAGGATGGGTTTATGGACTTTGAGGTCTACAGCCACCAAACAAAACCTGCACTGAACCTGGAGACCCTCCTGGTGGGAAACTCCTCCTGCCAGCCTATTTTCAAGGTTCCGTCTCTGGGGCTTGCAAGGTTTCGCATACCTCTGAATGGATGTGGAACACAACAGAAAGTGAGTAGCGATTCATGATAAGAAGTTAAGATTTACTTTTAAAGTGTTTTATTGACCAGCTTTCTCTAATATTCCAACATTGAAGTTTGAAGGTGATAAAGTCATCTATGAGAATGAAATACATGCTCTCTGGGAAAGCCCACCATCCAACATTGTATTCAGAAACAGTGAATTCAGGTGTGAGACAGTTTCTAATTATTTTTTTTTTAAGCTTTAGCTTAAACTACCGGGATTTTGTTAACATAATTTCTTCATATCTACTTACCCACAATTTTCCAGGATGACAGTGAGATGCCATTATATCAGAGACAGTATGCTACTAAATGCCCATATCAAAAGCCATTCTTCTCCAGTGGCCTCAGTAAAACCAGGTCCACTGCTGTTGGTCCTACAAACCTACCCAGGTGAGGTGTTGTTACTTGAGCTAATGGATGAAACCCTTTTGGGGGTTTTCCCTTAAAATGAACTATCTAGTGGTATCAGTCTAATGGGTGTTGCAGCCAGCCAGCCTGTACCTCAGTCCTTAAAAGGTTTCTGTTAATTGCAGACAAATCCTACCAACAACCTTATAGGAAGGATGAGTACCCTCTAGTGAGGTACCTCCGCCAGCCAATCTACATGGAAGTGATTGTCTTGAACAGGAACGATCCCAACATCAAGCTGGTCTTAGATGACTGCTGGGCAACCTCTTCTAAGGACCCGACCTCTGTCCCCCAGTGGCAGATTGTCACGGATGGGTACGTTCTTCCTACACCACAGGCTTGATCAGATACGACATCAGAACTTACTAGTGATTGGAAATTATCCTTCTAGGACTTAATGGAGACTTTAGTTATGAATTCTCTGAATTAATCCTTGTTTGCTGTCATCAGCACTTGATCTAATTGGGTGGCTCACGCTGCTTTTCTATCACCCTGAACTCTTAAAGAATGGGCTTTTCTCCAAAACAGTCTGGTTCTATTGCATCTTTATCACGAGAGGGAGAATTCTTGTGTCTGTTTTATGAATACCTACCATATGCCTACCATATGCCAGGCTGTCGTGTATCCCATCCCATCACCTGAGGAACACTGGCTGCCAACTTGAGGGAATCCAAGCTTTACACGAGTTACTTCCAAAAGTAAGTGGTAGAGCACAGATTAGAAATCCCACTTGACTCTAAACAACTGTTACAGTGCTCTTGGGTATAGTGTTTGTCCTCTCAGCTCTGCCTGAAATGTCTCCTCCAGGGTTTTTTACCTGCAAAGAGCTATAATATTAGCTTTCTTGGCTCTGTGGGAATATGTCACAAGACTACAAGCCTGCAGCTAGTCTCCTGACTTGAGCACATACAGACCCATTCAATCATACAACCCAACTCCTTACCTTTGAAGATTTGCCTGAGCATCCCTTCTCCCTGAGGCCAGCCCCTATCCCTTTATCCCTCTATGTAATTCTTCATGACCTTTGTTCTTTTCATCCTTAATGCCATCATTACCTGCTAGTGTGCAAGGATTCTACTTCTGTTGCAATCTAGGTAGTAACTGTTTGTCCTAGGACCAAATAGAAACTCATGTTAGGGTAATAAGTAAGCTAGTATCTTAAGTAACATACACACAATAGGATTAATCAGGGAATTCATAACCAAAGTTGTGGTTACAACTTGAATCTGTTGGTGAATCTATTCACTTGGTTAAACAAATAATGCATTTGTATCATATAGAAGAACACAGGTGTTCTACATCACTTAGAACTTTGTGGTTACTGATGGATAGGTCCAGTTAGAAAAAAGTAAGTAAAACAGAAGCACTGGTAGGATATAGACATAGCTGTAGCATAGAAGTATCACATATGGCTCACCTTGTGCAAATGGGCACGAGTGGGTTCCTGTGGCTGATGCCCCCATCCTGGTGCCTGTTTCCTAGCTGTGAATATGAACTGGACAACTACCGCACTACTTTCCATCCAGCTGGCTCCTCCACGGCCCATTCTGGTCACTACCAGAGATTTGATGTGAAGACTTTTGCCTTTGTGTCAGAGGCACATGGGCTCTCCAGCCTGGTATGTGATCAATAAGTCACCTGGGGCAGGTTGATAGTGCATGGGTTCCCCCTGATGCTCTTCTTCCTCTTCCAGATCTACTTCCACTGCAGTGCCTTGATCTGTAACCAAGCCTCTCTAGACTCCCCTCTGTGCTCTGTGACTTGCCCTGCACCACTGAGAAGCAAACGAGGTAAAAAAAAAAAAATTCAATCATTGCTCTCGTTGTTCACAGCAAGTCTCAATTTTCTAGAATTGAGTACATGTTAGGATAGCAATAACTTGTTCTCCACCTAATCCCAAGAAACATCTCTACCCAATCCCAAGAAACAGCTCCACCCAGTCTTTTACGAGTGTGGCAATCCTGAGATGCACAGGTTCTCACTTAGCCTGATTAACCCATCCTTTGAGAATCTATCCATGACACAGATGGAATCCATGTCACAGGATACTCCATGGAGCATCTGCTAGGAACTCCATGAATGCCTGTGTCAAGCGCAACCTTGATTATCTGTCTTCCACCACAGAGGCCAGCAAAGAAGACACAGTGACTGTTAGCCTTCCAGGACCTATTCTCTTATTGTCAGATGACTCTTCATCCAAAGGTATATATTTAAAGTCTAGGATACTTCTGAATGCAAGTTCTTATTTTTTTCTGCCAAAAATTCAATATGCTTAATGAGAAAACTAAACAAAAAGTAAGTTCCCTACCCAGGGAACCTTGAACCTTTTGTGTGCTCTCCTGAAAATCACCAGCAGGATCGTGTCCGTTACCTACTGATAGTTTGCTTTATATTCTAGTCTTGCTGTAACCATGTAGGATGCATGGGGCTCTTAGCCATGGTCTTGCTAATGACCCATGGTATTCCATCTCCCAACTCGACTGATGCTAGATGTCATAATGGATTCTTAATGCCACACTAGATCTTTTCAGAAGATTGTTGCCTACCATACCAAGAGATTGGTGTATATTGTTTATAGGTTGCATGCTGGTAAGCTAACAAGCATAAATATCCCTTTAACTTCTGCCAATCTGAAACCCACAGGACATTATGCTCCTACAATCATACCACAGCCTCACCCAGAAGGCCTCAACTCCAGGCCTAGAATGTAAAATTAAGCTATCTTAAATCTCTAGCCAACTGCCTTGTGATATCACACACCTAGGAATTGCTAACCCTCAGGACATTGTATTAGTCAAAGCTGAGACTCTGAGGCACTCTCTAGCTATTGGCTCATCTGGTTTGAGATAGAAAGAGCAAATGGTTATAATAGAGGGGAGTGTGGAGCAGGGGAGGATGGAAGTGGCAATAGGTTGAAGAAGGTGAGGCTGCATTCTACTGCAAACTTCCAAAAAACAAGTGATGGGCCTTAAATTTTGTAGAAGGGCTCAGCCTGACCTTATGACTTGAATACTTGCTTTCTTTGTAGGTGTTATGGACCCCAACAGCTATGAGATTACCAAGAATATTTCTTCTAAAACATTGGGTGTTGTGGCTGCGCTAGTGGGCTCAGCGGTCGTTATAGGGTTCATCTGTTACCTGTATAAGAAAAGAACTATAAGGTTCAATTACTGATTGGACTTGCAAATAAAGAGGCTGCAGTAAAACTCTTGTCTTACATGTTCATGCATGTACACATATGTGCACTCGGGTAAGGCCAGTATTCAGGCATCATCCACTTTTTTGGAGAGGAAAAAGAAGTGGTTTCATCGGCCCGAAACTTACCAAGCCGACCACAAGAGCCACAGGTGTCTGCCTGTCTCTGACTCCCTAGCACCAGTAATATGGTGTGTTCCACTGTGACTAGCCTTTTAAAAACAAAGCAAAACCCACAAGGAACTCAAACGCAGATTCTCAATGCTTGCCAGACAAGCACTTCTCTGGCTGAGCCATCTCTCCATCTTTCCAGCCTGTTGCCCTCTGTTTTAAGACTAGAAAAATATTTAAGAATTGTTACCTTCAATCATTCTTTAAATCTGGGACATGTTCACAATGCCCCGGGGAAGCATTTATCAACTTGAATAGGAAAAGGTAAATTTACAACTTGTTTCCTATCTGAGATTTTGACTCTGAGTCCTATACTTGACACGTGTCATTTATGTTCAACAGGGCTGAGCTGCAGCCCACCTGAAAGGGTACATTTATGAGTTCTCTGTTTGAGTCTCTCACTTGGGCACAGGACTGGGGTAGAAGGAGTAGAAAACCACTTGTGTCTAACTTTGTCACAATAGTGAAATACCAAATGTGGGGTACTTCAGTAAAGAGGCTTTGGGGATTGTTAGGGGTTCTTTCCCTTCCCTGTTGTGGATGCTTATGTCTAAGTCTGGATGGTCCATTGTGGAGGGAGATGGTGGGAATGTGGGCCCAGGTAAAAGACCTACATCTCAGCCTGTGAAGAACCATCTAACTTCAATGTCCACCGCTCCTCTCAATTCTCTCATTCTGGAGGCCAAAATTTTAACATGTATATCTTTAGGGGAAACAATCAAAATACACCATTCTTAACCATTTGACCAAAAATATTCCTTTAATGAAAGAAATTGCTCACAGTAAAGTATTTCCTAACTCGAGCAACTCTCTCAAATAAGATTTCTGGGACTTTAAAATGATTGAGTTGTATCTCTGTAACTCCTGTTTAAAGATCTGTCCCCTGGGGGAGAGGGAAAGGATGCTGTGAGATCTATCTTAAGTGCAATTCAATGCCGCTGACATCCAGGCTCTACACTGAGCCTGAGTCTAGGGACAGTCTCTACTTGTGCTCAGCTCCTCATGAGGCTCATCTTCCTGGAGCCACCCTAGCTTTCCCTAGACTGCTTGGAAAAAGTTACCACACGACTAATCTTTTTTTTTTCTCTTTTTTTTTATTGGATATTTTATTTACATTTCATATGTTATCCCCTTACCCCATCCCCCACCCACCCGGGAACCCCCCATCCCCTTACCCCTCCACCTTCTCTGTGGATGTAACCCCCACCTACCCCCCCACTCCCACTTCCCCACCCTCAAAATTCCCACCCCCTGGGGCGTCCAGCCTTCACGAGGTCAAGGATCTCATCTTCCACCTGTGTCCTGCAGGGCCCTCTACTCTTACATATTCAGCTGAAGCCCTGGATCCCTCCATAAGTGCTCCCAGGCTGGTGGTTAGGACCCTGGGAGCTGTGGTTGGTTGGTATTGTTGCTCTCCTCATGGTGCCACAAACCCTTTCAGCTCCTTCAGTCCTCACTCTAACTCCTCCATTGAGAACCTCATGATCAGTTCAATGGCTAGTTGTGAGCATCTGCCTCTGAATATGTCAGACTCTTGAAGGCCTCTGAGGAGACATCCATATCAGGCCCTTATCGGCATGTACTTCCTGACTTCCACATCAGCATCTACCTTTGGTGACTGCATATGGGGTGGATACTCAGGTGGAAAGGTCTTCAAATGGCCCCTCCTTCAGTTTCTGTCCCTCACTTTGTCTCCATATTTGCTCCCTTGAGTATTTTGTTGCTCCTTCTAAGAAGGACCGAATCACCCTCACTTGGTCTTCCTTCTTTATGGGCTTCATGTGGCCTGTGAGTTGCATCTTGGGCATTTCAAGGTTCTGGGCTAATATCCAATAATCAGTGAGTGAATACCATGTGTGTTCTTTTGTGATTGGCTTACTTCACTCAGGATGATAATTTCTGGTTCCATCCATTTACCTAGGAACCTCTCGAATTCATTGTTTTTAATAGCCGAGTAATACTCCATTGTGTAAATATACCACATTTTTTGAATCCATTCCTCAGTTGAAGGACATCTGGGTTCTTTCCAGCTCCTGGCTATTATAAATAAGGCTGCTATGAACATAGTTGAGCATATGTCCTTGTTATATGTTCGAGCATCTTCTGGGTATATGCCTAGGAGTGGTGCCGCACGACTAATCTTGACCTATGCTAGAACTCAGTAGCCTTTCACATATCTAACGAAATTTCATCTGTGTCCTTTGACTAGAAAATATACCCCCCTTCCAAAACATTTTTCAGTCTCTGTAATTGGGAAGAGGTTCAAATAAATTTTTGCTGGGGTGGGGAGGTATTTGGATTACATTTTTTAATCTTAATCCATCGTTGAGGGAAGTCCAAATAAAGGCTGAAGCAGAGACCATAGAGGAACACTGCTTACTGGATTGCTCCTCATGGCTTACTTAGTCTTTTTTAAGTACCCAGGATAACCTGCAGAGGAGTGGCACTGCCTGTAGTGAGCTGGGTCCTCCCCCATCAGACATCAATCAAGAAAATGCTTTAACAGACTAATCTACAGGCCAATCTGATAGACACTCTTAAAGTCCCCTCTTTCCAAATGACTCTACCTGTGTCAACTTGACAGACTAACCAACACAACAAGAGCCCACTGTATACTTGTTCCTATCCAGGAAATAAATGTGTGTGTGTGTGTGTGCATGCGTGTGTGGGGTCAAAGCATATCTATTTTGTAGTACATAGTAGGTCTCAGGCTTTATGTTGAATACTCTTCCAACATACTCCATTGGCCTTTCCATAGCTGTGATAATGTGTGGGGAGGGGGGGGCAGATTTATTTTGTCTTAAGTTTCCAAAGTTAAAGTTGGTCCTTGGGCAGGATGTCATGGCAGAAGAGGCATCTATCAGAGGAAGATCTAGCATCACTGAGGACAGTGAAGGGACCCAGGACCAAGGGTAGCCTTCGAAGGTCTGCTCCTTGCAGGAGTGTTCTGCTCAGCAAGGCCTCACATCTTAAGGTTTTCACAATGTACAGAAACAGTGCTACTCGATAGCCCAAGTGCTCATAGGAGCTGGGAATACTTCAGAGCACCACAGACTTTCTTCTCAAATAATTGTGTTAAGAGTTGTGCAGGGTAAAACATCCTGACATGAGAAAGCCTGTGATTACTCTGTGTGGAAGGTCTGGTGTGTCCAGAGTGCCAGGGGTTAGAAGCTCAAGTCATCAAAGCCAATCTTAGGACCCAACTTTAATAAGGGTATAAGAAGTTAAAGCAAGACTTGATCTTGGATTCAAACTTTTCTGTGTGGAACCTTATATCACTAGGCTGCTGCATATTTGAATCAGAAATAAAATTTTCATGTGCTATGCCCTTTAAATGACATTAAAATGAACACATTTTAATAGCAGCCAGCACAGCAAATGCAAAAGTAAGCTGGCTCTGGCACCTCATGTCCACATCTTAATCTAAAAGCAAATAAGTATATATCCATTTTGGTAGCTTCCCATGGAGACATGGAATTCGTAGATGGTCTTCATATGGTTAGATGAGGCAGCTTGGCAATCACAAGGGTCCTAGTAAAGAAGACACAGGAGAGCTGGGCTCTGAGAAGATATGACACTGGTAGCCAAAATCTAAGTACTGACTGGAGGGTGACAAGCCAAGGAACCCAGGTGGGCTCCAACAGAGGAACAGGTGAGGAACTGTGGTGGAACCTCCAGAGTCAGCGCTACTGCCCCATTTTTCACTTCTGAGTTTGCCCCCAGAGTTGTAACTAAGTTTACGTTGTTGAAGCTGCTAAGGAAAACCAATCCACCCTCTAATGACTCATGACCCACAAATTAGAAAAACACACTGAAAACGTTCACATGTGTCACTCAGGGTCTATAATCACTCAGGATGTTACAGTCCCGTAAGCTCTTGGTAGACCCTCACCTGCAAGTTGGCCCATGTGTGGTGCCATCAAGATCTCCTGGGCTTCTAGACTTCTCTACAGCAAACTCCCTTCTGAAGTGTTTGCCACAGTACTAAAGCAGAACTCGCAGAGTGGAAAGTAGAACTTGCCTGGAGCAGCAGCTCAGATGAACACTTGTTGCCATGGTAGCCTGGAACAAGCACAGGGAGCAATAGATTCAAGTTGGGTTCTCAACTTTTGAAAGTACACATCCTACAGTATGTGGGGGAGGCAGCCTATTCAGAGAGTAAGTGTGTGGGCAAGGAATTGAGCTCAAACCCCAAGAGGCTGCTCCTTCATCCCCTCTGGGTTTGCGACCTTACTAATTGGGTAGCAATGAGTTGTAATTGTAAAACAGGTGTCAGAAATAGGATAAAAGGGTTTTTAGTGGTTCTGATAGTGAAGGGTGCAGAGGCTGGGAATGAACTTGTATATTGTGGAAACAGGCCCCTATCTTTTCTTCCCTGGCCTGTTCTGTGGCTACTATAGTTTATTTAGGTACACACAATTTCAGAATATGAAGGGTGGGGTTCTAGATATATATTCTGCTAGTTGTGTGGCCTTGAGCAGACAGAGCATTCTCTATGTCTGTTTCTACACTCCCAATTCATGTCAATGTCCTAATTTTGTGGCAGGGGAGCAGAGAAGTGTTCAATAAGATCATCAGTGCATTGATACAAAGCTGCCTGGCCAAGCTTGAAGCATCTGAACACCAGGATACTGACAGTACTAAACTCTAAACAAAACCTCAGAGACAATATATTCCTATAGGATGACTAATGCCATGTATGACACCCGAGGCCCTTAGATGCATATTTTATAAGTACATATGCCTTGTCCTCACCCACTAAATGAATCCTGAAGGACTGGGTCTGAGGATGTTTAAGCAACACAGGAGAATAATCGGTGGCCCCAGTGATATCTG